AAAGCTCCTCTAGCCTAACAAATTTTTTTAAAAATAATAATCGTCGCTATTGTATCATTAAAAATTATTTTTAAATTATTTTATTGTTCACGAAACAAACAACCACTAATAATTAGAAAATTAAGTCTCGTTTAAATACTGGCCTCCCTTCAATGATCGAGCCAGTGTTGCCAGCTAAAACATGCAAAAATTTAACAAAAATAATATTAAAGTAGCCAAAACATAACCAAATATTGTAGCGCCATATCACTAGCAGACATTTGAAATTTGCCGACTAGAACAGTCGGTTAACCAAAGTAACGGTTAATTGGGGTGGGTCAGATAATCGATGTTTTACTGTATTATTATACAAGTTAATATAAAAAAATAACTTAAAATTTGCTTATTTTTGGTCACATATTCCCCTATCCCTATTTACTCTATGTTAAAATGATGTCTTTCACACTGTTTTGCTTAGCACTTTGTTGTCTAGGAACGCATCCCTCACATTAAGCAAGGTCTTACTGTACTTTTATTAGTTGTAATATGGTCTATACTTCTTGCAGATATGCACTCCATATCATTACATTCTCTGAATATTTGAAACATTGCTTTAGTGCAGATGAATGAAATGCTTCTTTGGTTGTCCACATATGTACAGTACACCTTGATCACCATATAACATGCAAAACCTCGATTCATCACTAAAAATAATCATATTCCAATCTTTAGCAGTCCAATCAATATAGCGTTTACACTACTGAACTCATTTCAGCCTTTGTTTCCTGGAGAGGAGTTTCATTTTGAAACAAGTTCATTTCATGAAGTCTACAAACTGCTATACTGTGGGATACATTTACATCAATACAGGTTGATGATAAAATATCTGATTTTAAAATAATGTTATGTCTAGTTTAAAGTCATCTCTGAAAATTGATCAGTATTTTCTTTCACAATTGTTGATAATTATTTATGATTTTCTTTTTCAAATTCATTTAAGATATCTGATACTGCATACTGTGAACAGTTAACGATTTTGACAATTTCCAATTAAGATTTACCTTCATTTTGTAAAATTGGATCTTTTTCTTTTTCCAGGTGATAAGTCTCTCCAGGTGATAATCACATGATACTTTATTGAATTTTATTGAAATTTCATAACAATCCATAAACAATATTTAGTATATTTTCAAATTACAAAAGAAAGCATATTCAAATTTCATTTATATGAATTTTTAAATAGTGTTTTAAGTCTGTTTTTATTATGATCATCATACAATGCAATAAAATCATGTATTTCAATAAATCTACACTATATATAAATGTAACTAACCTGTAGGTGGATTGAAAAAGTTGAAAAACGAATCATTTTGAACTGTCTTCGTAACAGTTCTGACAGATCCTCTAGATTTATGCTTCTGCTTCTTTTTAATAGTTTTCACAGTAACATTTTTCCCTTTCTTCCAATCAATAGTACAACTATAATAATTGATTTAAAAAATTAAGAAATGTTAAAAGGTTAATATAAAGTTATAATAACTTACNATTAATATAAATAAATTTAATATTTAATATAATAGGCCTTTAAATTAATATAATATTAATTTAAAGACCTATTTATTTCAGTATTTTTGATGTTTTTCATGCACAAAAAGAATTGTTCACAACAGTATGTATTACCCCACATGCATAAGTTTTCTAACACCAATTACGTCACTATGACAACAAAATGTGTCCAGTGAAATAAGCTTTACGACATACTTAGGTATATTTTTATTGATTTTGGTAAAAATTTTAGGGTGCAGTGGGCCACATAAAAATATTAAGTGGGCTGGACATACCTGACCTAGAGTGATGTCAATTTGACAATTTTGCAGTCTTATGGTTAAACCCATCATACAATCATATTAACTTAGTTTGATATTGCATCCAACCAGTGTACTGTATATTGACTAGTTTGTGTTAAGCCTTAAAGGTATTAAGTATATACAGAGTGATTTTTCTCTAGTTTTATTTAAAAAATATTTACTTGAAAATTTTCACAGGCACTGAATACAGTTTTGCATTTCTGTGAATTAAAATTTGAAAATTTCTATTAATGAATAAAATAAAATTTCTCTAAGGATTGTTGGTAATGTTTTATTTAAAAGTTTGTAGAAATTGTAGGTCTCAAATATTAATCTCTTTCAGGTGCATGATGAACCAATACTAAAACATTTAACAGATGTGAAAGTGAAATTTTCAGAGTCTAATCCTATGGTAAGAATTTCTTTATCTATGCACTGTATAATTTCAAAACATTAAATTATTCAGAGTACAAGCAATAAAACTTTGATTTTTATGGACTAATTTGGGTGAGGGGAGTGTGTTAAAGCCAAAAGTCTGTTATGTAATAAAGGAGGTTTTCCAAATGCATATGTTAAAGTAACTAATTTGTTGTTTTTTTTCTGTTTTTACTTACATAGCTATGTCTGTGTAATTAAAATTGTGTGTGTATGAGAGGTTTAATTTAACAAAGGTTTTCTATATGTATTATTGCTTATGTACTTGTGGTAGTTGAGTCTGTAACAAACAGATATAAGATCTGAACTTGTAGTAACAACTGAGAATGGAGTTAATATCAAAAACACTCACCAAACAAATTTTCTTGTATGATGAATGTTCTTGAGATAAGATATAAATATAAACAAACATTTTTTGGAAATTCTTTGATTTGAAAAATAATCTGTTAATTTAATTACGTATAAAAAGCATTTTAAGATTAATGGGGTGTTAATTTTCACATAAGGCATACAGACCAGAAATTTTGTCCATTAAATTGAGGTTTTACTGTAATTAATATCTATTACTATTTCGTAATTCGTGAAATATTTTTATAAGGTACTGTACAATACATTTAAATTTGAGTATTGAGTAGCAATTAATCGTTATGTTGTGTCACTTGTATTCTTGTTTATATAAATTCTAGAATTTTTTCACTTTATAGTGTGATATGTTAAATGAAGATATACAAATTATTTTCCTTAAAAATAGTAATGTATATGTAATATGTACTGTACAGTACATATGTAATATATGTATATATGTAATACTTAACTGTAAAAAAGTTAACTGTTGACAATTTACAACAGTAAAAAAGTTAACTGTTTTTAAGATGAATGATTTTCAAATCATGAATTAAAAGATCACAAGTACACAAACATATTTAAAAAAGATTGGTTTATCATTGACTATTTAAAAATATTTTTTAAATATCACTGATATGGTTGTAATTTAGCTTTATAGTAGGGGGAAAATGAAGTTTTAGATTTGCTTTGTAAGTGGTGGTCTAGATACATTTCACTTCCAGTTTAGTGTCTTCTATCATTGCAGTTTTGCCATATTTTGTACTGTGTGATCTCTAAACAAATAGAGAGGTTGAGGCGCACGTTTTAAACGTGTAAACGTGTACGTGTGACGTTCAGCGCCGCTTTCCCGTAAGCCTAAAAGTTTGACAATGGTGTTTGGATAGTCGATGGAATCATGCTCGACATTCCAAACACCATCGTCAAACTTTTAGGCTTACGGGAAAGCGGCGACGAACGTCACATGTACACGTTTACACTTTTAAAACGTGCGCCTCAACCTCTCTAATATCTACAGCATGTTGGCAAGTCTGTATTGTAACATGGTGGTCTCCAACCTTCTATAAAATGGACTGTGATCTGGTAGAGACAAGATACCAAAGATGTAGTCAATGATGAATTTTTTTATCTGTGTATACTTGTTAATCAACGATGTTTTTATTTACTATTTTATTTTTGCTAACTATATAGCTTTATTTATCTTACATTTTAGTTTTATATTTATCATTTAAAAATATTTGTTAGTTTGTTTTAAAAAGTTTTTGAATAGAATTTTTGTTGGCTATGTTCTTCCATATAGTTCATAAAATTTTATTTATAACTGTTAGAGAGAAAATATTTTTTCTCTTTTGTTGTTCTGTCAGCTCACTTAAGTCAACTGGAAAAGCACCCCATTAATTAATTAAAGAGGCTCTAGAGAGAACAATGAACTATTTTCTCTTGTCTGAATTACAGAGAGTTCTAATTAGAGGGTTTTTTATTTATTTTTGATTGTGCTGCATTAAATGCATTTTTGTGGTTTGGAATGAATTAATCTAATTTCTATTATTTTTTGGACAAACTTTATTAGCAAACAGATCCAAACTCAACAGCTTTCCAGAATGAATTAAGTTTGAATACCAAGGTACTACTATATTAAGATTATCAATGGATGGTATTTGCCATACTATAAATACTGTAGTTGACATTATTTTCATATGAGTTTTTTTACTTTAAATACTGAAAAATGTTTAAAACAAATTTTAAATTAATATACCTCAATGTCCTTAATTTATTGTAATCTTATTTCGTCCACTAGTACGTATCTATTAACAGGACTTATTAAACTGGCTTTAAGGATACTGCAACTCAGATATGTATTAGTGGACAAAATAAGATTGTGTAAAACAAAGTTTAATTTAAACTGGCTGAAAGAAATTCTGAATTCTCAGGCTGGTTATAAAATTTGAATAAATGACAAATGTTTGTAAGAATCCATTTTCTTTTAGCAATATGGGAATAAAAGCTCTTAGAATACATATACTATGACCAGACACACAAAAAGGTTAATCGAGGCCAGAGATTAAGTTGGTGAAAGTAATGCAAAACTTGTCTGAACCAAGCAAAAGTATATCTCAAGAACAAACCACCTGAAAATATTCATTCACAGCCTGTAATGACATTGGAAAACAGTGTGTGTCAAACGTTATCATTAAAGATTATGTGACAAAAGCTGAAACTTATTGGGCAATAACAATTATAGATAAAAGATTTTCTTAAACTTTCTGTTCAGACATGACTGCTATTTTTCAGATGTTTCCTAATAGTGCTAGTGCCAAACAGTTGACAATAGGACTGACAAAAGCTGTAAATGTAAAAAAAATTTTGAGTGCACTCTATTTTGAAGAAAGTCTAATAACTGTAAAATGTGTTTTGATGGATCATTAAAAAACCGGCTCAAAGGGATCAAGTGGATCTGTATGTTTGGTTTTGGGATGATCATGTCAGCACTCCTTATTTGATAAGTGTCTTAGATTCTGTAACTGCAAATGACATGCTTGACAAGTTCTTGGTGTTTCGGATATAATTTTAGTGAAAGTAATGTATCTATGGATGGACCTAATGTAAACATTAGCAATTCCATGCATAGAAAGCTAGAACTTCTTTAAGTAAGTTTCAAAAAGCTTTCTACACATTTTCTAGCAGTTTCTTGAGAAAACAAACGTTTTCGGCCATGTTTAATGGCCGCCTTCAGGTTGTCTGTTAACAAAAATTCGAAAGCAAACTTTTTGTAAGCAATAATATGATGTCATTGTTTTAAACAGGAGATTAATAAATAGTCATTTATTTTGTAATCTATTCACACATCTATTTTGTTAATTTTTTCAATTTTGTCTGTCAATTTTTAAACAGGAGATTAAAAAATCTCCTGTTTAAAACAATGACATCATAGGAAATAGGTAACATTTTGTAAACAATAACATCATTTGAATTTTTGTTAACTAACAATGTTGTTGAACCTGAAGGCGGCCATTAAACATGACCGAAAACATTTGTTCTCTCAAGAAACTGCTAGAAAATGTGTAAAAAGTTTTGAGAAACTTATGTAAACATTAGCTTTTTGAAGTTTGAGGTCCAAATGGGGTTTTGCTCCTTTAATAAGCAGTTAGTTCAGTATGGAACTTGTGGATTGCACACAATTCATGGACCTGTGAAGAGTGGCTTTAAACCAGTTGGCTGAGCTGTTTTCAATATATTGTGAAATTTATATCATTACTTAAACTCTCCAAAGAAAAGGGTTGATTTTTTTCAGCTATCTGGTTTCCAAAACAGAGTTGGACAATATGTTGTCTTGACAGGGCAATAGAAAATGATTGTCATAACATACCTAACAGAGTTGAAAGAAAGTAAAGTAACAATATTTAAAAAAAAAAAACAATAGTTGGTGATCCTGTTGTTGAGATGCAAGCTATCAGTTTTTAGATCAGTTTCACTTAAGTGTGAATCATTTCTAAGATTTTCTCAAATCCCAAATCCAAAGGATCCATTTTTATTTGAAGCTCTGGTAAATCATCTCAAAATCTTACTGACAAGATTAACTGACAAGTCCAGCAAGTTAAGTAGAATAAACCTTTGTAAAAAAAAATAGATGTAGATGCAAAAGAGAATTTATCACTTTGAAACATTGATGTTAGGTTTAGTGTCAAGAAACTACTAAGGAAAGCAGTGACATCTGTCAAAGACAAACTAAAATTTTGCATAGTGCCAAAAGATTTTAAAAACTACAGTTAAGATTTTAGATGTCTTATAAAACAAACTTGTTTAAGGTTTCGGTAGCTTGAATTCAGACAATATTCACTCAACCAAATCATGCATGGCATTAATTTTTT